TACTACTACTACTATACTACTACTACTACTACTACTACTACTACTACTACTACTACTACTACTACTACTACTACTACTACTACTACTACTACTACTACTACTACTACTACTATACTACTACTACTACTACTACTACTACTACTACTACTACTACTACTACTACTACTACTACTACTACTACTACTACTACTACTACTACTACTACTACTACTACTACTACTACTGCTACTAGGAGAAAACAAAAAAACATGCTGGCGGATGTCGGGCTTCGTCGTGGACGGAGGGCGGGGGGGCTCTCCTGCTCGCCGTGGGCGAACGGGCAGTAGTAGCGGTGGCACCTGGCGGAGGCCGCCCCATCCGGAGCCACAAGGGTTACGTAGGAGGCAACTACTGGGAGGTCTACGTCGGAGGGTCTGAAGAGGATTGAGCGCCAGTTGGGGGGCTGTTGCGCAGGATTGCGCCGCGCATGGAACGGGATCAAGTCGGATTAAGCGGGATGAGGTCGGATTGAGTGAGATTGAGTCGGATTTCGGACCAGGACAAAATCCGAACAAGGGCTTGAGCAAGGAAAGACGAGGCCACCGCCACCAACGAGAGGAGCCAGGGGGCGTCCAACTGCCGGTGTGATCCCCGTTCCCCAGTGGACGCCCGAAGTGGATAGCGGAAACATGGTAACGGTGCACAACAGCAAAGGCTGTTCAAAATCAACGGCGGCAACTGTTGGGAAGGCGGCTTTCTGTGACAAATGGACAATTACCCTGGCGGCACCAACAGCGAGCCCTATTCAAAATGAGCAAGAACTGCTTGTGAGTCGTCGGCCCCAGCTGTTCCTTACCCATGCCGATCGCATACCTCTCCGCTCGAGACATCCCCTGCCTCAGGCTCGCCTTAATCTAGTTGGCGGGGGCGTCGGTCTCCTCTCTTCCGACGCATGGGGTCGGGCCATGAACAGCCACAACAGGATAGAATAAGTTGTCTCTCTTACTATTTGGGATCCCCTCTTGTTTTGTGCCACGCCGCTTCCACCAGGGTATTGTCGAGCGGGGCCTCGCGGGCCCACCAGCGGGGCGGCTGAGCCCCATTGAACTCACCGCCCCGTGTTGCCTCTCGCCAGCGCCGCCAACACCGCGCGGCCGAGCTTCTCCCAGGGCGAGGTCAGGCCGAACGAGGCCTATGGCCCCAGGACTCCTCCGCGGAAAACCAGGGCCCCTCGAAACGGCCGCCAGCGGCCACCAGGAAAACCCGGGCGCCACGATGAGGCAAGACGAGGCCGAGAGGACCCAAGAGCTCTTCCCTCTCAAAAGGGTGGCCCGAGGGTGGGAGACAAAAAGCCTGCGGCGAGGCGGCATCGCGGCGCAAGCACAGGAGAGAGGGACCCCATAGGAGAAACAATCAACATGTTCTAACATGAGTTTCTGTTTCTCTTACTATTTGGGATCCCCTCTTGTTTTGTGCCACGCCGCTTCCACCAGGGTATTGTCGAGCGGGGCCTCGCGGGCCCACCAGCGGGGCGGCTGAGCCACATTGAACTCACCGCCCCGTGTTACCTCTCGCCAGCGCCGCCAGCGCCGCGCGGCCGAGCTTCTCCCAGGGCGAGGTCAGGCCGAACGAGGCCTATGGCCCCAGGACTCCTCCGCGGAAAACCACGGCCCCTCGAAACGGCCGCCAGCGGCCACCAGGAAAACCCGGGCGCCACGATGAGGCAGAGAGGACCCAAGAGCTCTTCCACGTCTCCCTACCTGGTTCACCGCCTTGAAACCACCGCAGTGGGGGAGGCCACATCGTAGGCCAGCAAGCTCCCAAGAAACCTCCATCTTTCGAGGGTTGACTGCGAAACGCGCAATTCTGAGAGAGCCTGCTGGCCTTCTGTAAGGTATATACGAGCCGTCGCCGTGTCTTGCCAACGCCCTCTCTCTAGAGTGGCAGGCATATTACGAGTGCGACGGAAGAACGATGTGGGCCCCCCTCTTCTTAGACTGCATGGCTTGAATTGAAATTGCTGGCAACCGATAGCAGCGCACAGCTGCTCAAATATACGTCTGAAATCACCAATTGAAGATGGCAATATCTGTTGGTCTGACGGAGCATGTCGTAATAAGTACGATATCAGCTGTGCCACCGAGGCATCCTCAATCACGACTGTCTCCTGTCGATGAAATCGCAGGCCACTTTTTGTGATTGGCAGCACTACAACTATTCTGGCGCGAGCCTCGTCGATGGCGACTTGCCAGCGTCGCAGGGTCAGCATCTCGGTGGTCCTCAGGAAGGCCGCGAAGCCGAGGACCAGCAGCGCCGCGACGTCGTTGCGGCCCCAGCCACGCGCGGTGGCAGCCAGCGCCGTCAACACGATGTCAGGCATCGGAAGCACTCGCTGCGGCAGCTCTAGTCTCTGCGAAGCACGAAGCAGCCTCCACGACGCTGGCAGGATGCGCTTCTTGCGCAAAAAGAACTGGACGGCTGACAAAGTTTTCCCTGCCAAGCCCTGAGGATGCCCTTCGGTCCAGAGCCACTCGATCCAGTCGGCCACCAGCAGATTCAGTTGATCAGTGTGGTCGGCGCCCCCAGACCAAGAAAGCCCTCTCATAGCAACCCAATCTGAAAAATATCTCACTGCATACTGATATACCTCCAGGGCCCGTGGCTGCACCAGATTGTGTGATAGGCGACCCACCACGGCCCGAAGCTGACGACGCGTTGCCTGATCCTGCGCTGCTCTGACTCTGTGTTGAACTCGACCTGGCATGAAGTCAACTAGGAGCCACAGCCGCTCCCCTCGACGGGTTGTCCGCGGGGTTGCGGTCAGTCTCCGTGTAGCCGTACACGGGACGGGCAAGAGCAGCCAAGATCAGGGCACCAATGCGTCGAACAGTAACATGCAGCAAGTGAGATGATGATCGGCCTCTGGTAATGACTCCGAGACCAGCTTGAGAATCCATCAGATGACAAAAGCGGGTGCGTAAATGTTGAGAGGATCTGAAGCGCCATCGCATGGCTCCCAGAGGGGCTCTCACCTCAAGGTCCGTGATGTGGGACGGGCGCTTCTAGTCCCAGATGGCGGTGGCCTTACATGACCAGCGTGCCACACTGACTGGTCGCCTGGGCCACAGATCAGGCCGCATCGCCTCGAACGTGTCAAGCCTGATGTCGCTGCCTCTGGCCTCGGCACGGCGGGCCAGCTCTTCCACGATGATGATGCTGGGGTCCAGCGCGGCGTCCTCACCCTCGAGATCGTGCTGGCGCACCAAGACACCGTCGTCGCAATCCATCTGGTCCATGCTGACTGCGGCATCGGCGATGGTGGCGCCACCTCCAGTCTCACGCATCTGCCTGACGGAGGGGATCTCGGTCAGGTAGCCTGCTCTCTGAGCCCAGTGGGCCAGCACCCAGGCGACAACCACACGCTGAAAGCTGTCCCCAAGCAGTGCGCACCGGCAACACTCCAGATCAGCTTTCTCAAGCTTGCGCGCTCTGGTTACTCGTGCCGTGATCGTGTGCCCTGGGAGGAAGTCGAGCAGCAGCTCTCTCTCGACACTCGAGGGGGGCCTTCGGCTGCCGTCAGGCTCCTCGATGCAGCTGATGTCCTGGAACTGGTAGGGCGCGTAGCAGTAGTTGAACCTGCGCCAACGCTCGACTTCATGACCTGCACACTTGTCCAGACCTGACGGGAATTGACCTGGAGCACGACGAGGAACACAGCGCAGGAAGGTGGGCAGGCGGAAGTCCTTCTGAACGTCACCCTGCCACTGAAGCCCAGCGGCCAACCAGCGTTCAACTGGACCGGGCCCGTCCGGGATCACGCCACGGCGTCAACAGCTCCTCCTTGATCCAATACAAGCGGTCACGCTGGCAGTGCGTGACATCACCCGCTGAGATGCACACAGGTTCGCACTCCAGGGAATGTGACATCAACTGTCGCGGTTCCGAATCCATTGAGGCCGCGTTCTCAACCAGGGACAGCACCGTGCAGAAATCACCCAGCGCCTCGCGCAGAAGAGACACAATGCGGTTTATCTCGTAGAACAGACGTGACCGTCTCCCTTGAAGGCCAGTACGCTCAGCGTTGATGCGGGACAGGTCGCTGCAAGGGCTACCGGCCACCACTAATATCCATTTCACATGCGGAACTCGTTCACGGATGGCCACCGCCTCGGCGAACCCAAAGGAGCAGACGTCGCCGACTTCCAGCACGTCCGGCCATGCATACTTTGTCACTCGCTTCGCCTCAGCGTTGATCTCGGCGGACACGAACAGCGCGGGAGTGAGCCCCAACAGGTCCAGGGCGCGGCGAGCACCACCAATGCCGTCAAACAAGGACAGGAGCACCACCTCGTCGCGGAAGTCAGTCACCAGCCTTCGGCTGGCCGCTCTCGCAGCGGCCACTCCATCAGGCCGAATGCGAACAGCTCGACACACGGCTCCACGCTGCATGCTGGCATCCGAGACCGTCACCAGCCCGCTGATCGGCACGCGCAGGTCACAGCGAAGTAAAGGGGGCAACGTCAAGGCCGACGCCAGCTCCTCGCGCACCTTGCGCGGCACCTTCGCATCACCACGCAACTTCACCAAGAATCGCCACAAGTGAGTGAAGCACATCATCGCCTCGCGCCTGAACAGGAGGCACCGAACCCATCGGCCCGCCAGGATCTGCATCCACTTCTGAGTCACGGTGGGCCTTTGCAGAATCGCCAGGGTGAGGGAGATCAGCCGTCGCGCGAACTCTGCGGGCGGCCCGATGGTGCCGCGCTCCCCATCGATCGCCTCCCCGAGGGACTGCGTCGTGGTCTTGCGGATGACGGCCTTGTTCTCGCTTCTTGGCACGTTGAAGTGCTCATGCCTCCGACGGGCCAGGTCGACCGCCTCGCTGACCCCCCCCTCCTGCAGGGACTTGGCGTGCCACCAGTCGGTGATCTCCAGCACATCCAAGTTGTCGATGTACACCTGCCAGGCTCTCCAGAGGGCTGGCGTGTTGAAGCGCTCCAACCACTTCGCGATCAGAACATCGCCGTGGCAGGCCTGGTGCTCCTTGCAGTGGCAAAGCAGCCGAGCACCACTCAGAGAAGATAAGTCGGCCAGAAGGTCGGGCGACTTCTCCAGGTGCTCTGCGAATAGCTCGATGGCCCGCCTCCTGTCCAGACCATCCCGAATGCGGAACGGGTTGCCCCACTTCGATGGAGCAAGCTGTAGTGGGCTGGAGCCGCGCCCGATGTAGATCGTCCGCTTGTCGTCATCATAAGTGCGGCCGACCTCACCGCGGACGGGGGCCACTCCTGAGATGTGAGAGCCACCTCGGCGAGCAGGAGGAATAGGAGCGCCCTTGCGCAGCTCCTCCGACGCCGAGAGTTGACGTAGCTCAGGATGTCGGGCTCGAAGAAGGCGACGATGGATGTGCTGAATCACCCCGGTGGCCGATATCCATCCCATGGGCACGACGGCGGCGGCCTGGTATATCATGCCCTTGCCCGAAAGCCCAGCGACGCACCTCCCCACGGGCTTTGAGATGGCCATGTATTTCAGCCACACATCGCCGAGGCTGTACACGTAGAAGCAGCACTTCAGATCCTCCGCACTCCAGAGCATCACCTCTCCAGACCTGAGGATCACGCTCTTCCACTTGTCGCTGTGGGGCAGCATCGGCATGTCGCCCTCGATAGTATTCTGGATGAAGTTAGAGGGGATGATGTTCATCACCAGCCGCTGCGGCCCCTCGCCCTTCAAGTGGGATCCCTTCTTCACGCCGAACATGCCATGCCCCCCATCAACTTTCGCCCTTGAACCTCCACGATGTCCTCGTACTCAATCGTCTTGAGAATCCCCCTCTCGAGTAGGTCGCCAGCGATAAGCTCCTATTCCTCGTTCGAGGCCCAGACCTTTGGAGCGGGGGGCAAGCTGCCAAGCTCCGACTCGTCCTTCAGGATCAGACCTGGATCGGAGAGGGCAGCTCTGATCCAGCCCTCTGCCACATCAACGGCCCTCACGGCAGCGCGCGCCTCTCGAGGAGGCAGGGCTTCGAGCAAACGATCACGGTCAAGGGGCTCGGCAGGGAACACCTCCTCGCCGTCGTAGGAAGTGGCGGCGGAGCAAAGGTCGGTGTCCCAGTCGATGTCAGGGATCAGGCCAGCGCACTGCTCACGAAAGACTCTGACCTCATAGAGAAGATTATTTAGGGCCTTGCGCTGAGTGGCGCTTGGAGGGCCGTGAGGCGCATGGACCCAACTGCGAGTGTAGTGAAAGTTGAGACCTGACACGATACAATGTAGCCAATCTAACTCCTCAGGCTTCGCAGCTGCCAGCTCCTGGCCGTCCTCGCGAATGTCTCCGCGACGCTGAGGAGCAGCCAACCCATGAAACGCGATCGGGAGCGGGAGAAAATCCCGACGCTCTCGCCGACCGTTCGGTGATGGAAGCGGATCTTCATAGACTGCATCATATTCGGAAACCAGCAAGCCGTCGAGGGAGTGCGTAAAGAAGCCGGGTGTGAGATACCATCGCATTCAGGAGTAACGTCAGCTTTACCAAATGACTGATTGACTGAATTGTCAGTGGATGTACGTAAAGAAGCCAAATGTGAATAGTCGCCTGTCTCGCCGTGGGCCGCCTCAGAGGCAGACCCTGCACCCCCAGTAGCGGTAGCCGTGGTGGGCGACGGCGACCTCGAACGATGCAATGCGGACTTGCGTTCAGTGTCAGGGCGTAGCGCAGGAAGTAGCCGAGACAGCACAATGGTGCCGAAGTTATCAACGGATGAACTGGGCAGCGCACAGGACAAGGAAAATGAATTCTCGGAGACATCCTTTGTGTCACAGGCGACAGTGTGCTCCGCGTCATGCAAGGAGTCAGAATTAGATGACCTCTGGGATGAGATCTCCGACTCCTGATCATCGATTGGATTGTCATTCTTCTCAGACTCAGACGGAAACAACCATCATGTCTGTGGGAGCTAGGCGCGCCGCTTGCCTTTGCTCTTGCCCTTCGACTTGCCCTTGGAGCCGGGGCCCTGCCACCTGTCCGACTTGCCGCCGCCCTTGCCTTTCTTGAACTTCGGCTTGCCCGAGCTCGTGGTCTTCGCCTTCTCGCCCTTGCGCTGCGGTGAAGGTGAGCCTGGGCGGCTCCTCGGCGCTGGTGGCTACTGCAGTCCGCCCTGCTCGACCTGATCGGCGAAGTGCACGCGCCTCACTGGCGACGCTGGCCGCGTCTCCCTTCCAGCAGGTGGGCGCAGGGTCGGTCGGCGATCGGGGCCAGGGCCCACGGCGCCGCGCGCGGCGGCGGCTGGTGACCCTGGGGCGCCAGGCGCAGGAGGATGCGAAGCTGCGGGGCTGGCCGACTACTGCGCCTGCCCTCCTCCGCGAGCTGCTGGCGCTGCAGCCTGCTTCTTCGCGGCGGCAGCCTGCCGCCGCTCCTTCCTCCAGCGCGTCTTTCGTGATGCCTTCGCGCGCTCCACCATGCTGCTGGACTTGTTGGCCGTCGGGTTTGAAGAGAGGATGCCAGGGGTCGGAGATGGCCTCCGAGAGGGCGGCGCCCGAAGCTGTCCGCTGTCCTCTCGGCCTGACCCCTTATCCTGCGCCACCTCCCTTCTTGGCCTTCGCCGCGCTCTCGGCCAGGCCAAACATCCTCTTGTGCTTGCTCACGGCGTCGTGCACCTCCTCCTGGCGAGCGAGACCCACGCCCAGGTCGTCGCACAGCTCGAGATGCTGGGCCACCTGCCAGTGGCGCCGTCCTTGGTAGCCTGTTCGATCGCCTTCAGCCTCTGCATCAAGAGATCGCCCAGGTGATCCAACTCTCCTCTGAGCAGCGCGTCGAGACACTCGCCGACAGTTCGCATCTCGCGAACATTTCTCACCCCCATCTCGCTCTGCGGGTGGTGACCGTGCCGGACGCTCGTGATGTACTGCACCACCGTCGCCGCCAGCTCGTCCAGGTCCTTGTCGGCGTCCGCCCCACCACGCCGTGCAAGATAGCGCTTGATCTGATCCATTCCGCTCGACAGGAGAGCTCCTGGAGCGGCGTGGGCAAGATGAGCTATCCTGCGGCCTGGGTCGACGTGGGGGGCGCCGTCAAAAACTGAGCCATCGGAGCTGCTGTCGTCACCGGTGCGTCGTGTCCGCCTCCTCTCGCGACGACCCACTCGACGACCGCCAAGAGCCTGCTCAGCACGCTCAGCGAGGGCCTCACCTATCCCACGCTTGCGATGCAAGCGTAGGCGCAATTCAGCTTCCTTCTTCTTCAGCTCCTCGGGGGTAGGCTCCGAGCCAGCCACGGCACCTCCAGCGGCAGCTCCAGGCGGGCCAGCACCTCCGACGGATCCGCCAGGGAGGCCAGCGGCTGTCTGCCCCCCAGCGGCTCCACGACTGGCCAGCAGCGCCTGAGCCCACGGCTCAGCCACCCCCGCGGAGCTCCGCATGCGGTAGGTCTCCACGTGCAACACGGAGCGCTGAGGCCACTGCACCAGCACTGAGCACACGTTGGCCTGCTGGGTGCACAGGTGCAGCACCGCGCCACCACGGTGATTGAAGCTCCCCGACAGCATCGGCCACAAGGCGGCATTGCTGCAGCCCAGGAAGGACGCCTCCACGAAGACACCCATGCCGTCGCCAGGCCACACGCTCTGGATGCTGAACAGCGCCGTGCCGACAGCGCTCCCGAAGCTGTCCAGGGTCACGCACTCTAGCAACCCTCCTGGCGACAGCCCAAGCCGCTGGTACGCCATCGGCGACGAAGGGCCGTGCACCCAGGGTCCTGCTCCTCCTGGCGGTGCCGATCCACAGCCTCCTGGAGGCCCGACTCCACCACCAGCTGCAGGCACCCAGCCCAGCAGGCCACCAGCCCCTGGGGCACCTGCGGGCACGCCTCCAGCTCCACCGCCGAGAACGCCACCAGCAGCCGGGGCCCAAGCACCAGCGCCGCCGTGACCTCCGACGCCGAGAGCACCTCCTCCCAGTCCAGGAACAGCTCCAACGGGAGGTCCTGCCACGCCGCCAGCTCCACCGATCACAGCGGCTGCACCACCTGCCAGAGGGGGAGGCACGAGTCCGCCCAGTGGGCCTCCTCCACCAGCAGCGCCAGCCATCCCAGGCGGACCTCCGCCTCCAGCTGCCACCATGCCTGCAGCCGCTCCGACTCCCGCGGGTAGTCCACCGCAGCCACCCGCCAGTACTCCAGGAACACCTCCAGCCTGCACATCCGCGCCAGCGGCTCCTCCTCCTGGCGGGGCATCTGCGACAGGAGCTGCTGCGGCTCCTCCGACGGCACCGTTCGCTGCGGCTGCGGCGGCTGCACCACGACCACCTCCACGGGGCCGAGCCGCCACACCTCCGCGGCCTCGAGCGCCCGTCGCAGCCGCGGCCGCACGCGCTCGCCTGCCGCCCGCAGCCCCGCGTGCAGCGGCCGCGCGTCCTCCGCGGGCTCCACCGACGCCTCGCCCGTCTCCGCGACCGCCGCGACCGCGGTTGCCTCCGCGGCCTCCTGGGGGCGCGGGCAGCGCGACAGCTGCGCCCGCGGGCAGCGCGGCGAAGCCGCCAGCGGCGCCGCCCGCGGCGGCCGCCGCCATCACATGGCCGAGCCGCCGCGCCTGCGGCAGGCGGCGCCCCTGCACCTGAGGTCCCCCCCAGACCTCAGGCTTTCAAGACAAAAAGCCTGCGGCGAGGCGGCATCGCGGCGCAAGCACAGGAGAGAGGGACCCCATAGGAGAAACAATCAACATGTTCTAACATGAGTTTCTGTTTCGACGGGGGGTGGCCATGAAGGGTAGCCATAACCTCGACAAGGTCTTTCATAACCCCCTTTTTAGAATGGTAAATCATTTCTTTTCCACGAGCTTATTGAAGGATTGGGACGAAAACAAGATTGGGAAAATAACTAGTCTCTCGCGGCGGCACTGCAGGATGTCCTGAAAGAATCCTAGAAGGTCCCATGAATGCCTTATGGATTCTTAGGATTCCTCTGGATTCCTACGGACTTCAAATGATTCTCAGGGTTCCTTTAGGATTAAAAATATTCCCAAGATTTCGTAAGATTCATCAGTGCAGGGTCCCTAGGAATCCCTGGGAATCCCAAAAGCGACTCTGGGATTTGCGAAAGATTCGTGAGAAACCCAAGGTCCCCTTAAGATTCCCATGAATTCCAATTGACTCGTAGGATGCCTTAGGATTCCCTTCCGAGTCCCGAGGAGTCCTTGGATTCAATGTGGATTCGCACGGATTCCTCATGACTCGTTAGCTTTGGCTTTCTCCGGGTGCCCACGGATTCCCTGAAGATCCCTGAGGGCCCGCAGCATTCCTCAGGATAGGCTCCTAGGAATCCGTGGAAATCATCGAGACCCGGAGACTTCCCAAAGATTCCCAGGGACAACTGCAGACAAAAACATGTAAACATGTATTACCACCCTCGTACACAAATGCTCGGAATTCCTCCCGCGTGCAGTGTCACGCAAGGCAGATTATCCGGATTACCCGATGAGGCAACAACCGCCAAACAATGTATCCCGCAACAACAACACCAACAACATCAAAACCAACAACAGCAGCAACAACAACAAACAACACCGAAAACACCACCAACAACACCACCACCAACAACAACAAGCACGGCTCACCACAGCTGAGGCGAGCTCTTACTGCGCACGATGATCTGCGCGAGTTCCATGTGACGACGACGACGATCATGACGACGACGTCGACGAAGGCGACAAACATACCCGAATGGACCTGTAGCGAATTATCTTGCATTCCGTCCAGGAACAAACTTTAAATCCCTCGCAAGGTAACCCGGCAAACATTGCCCGATGGGAAGAAGTAATCACCCAACAATACCCATCACGGAAATCAGAAATGCGCAAATAGTTGCACGCGCGGCAACCACCGAATAAGCTCAGAACAATGATGGCGAGATCTTACTGCGCACATCACTTGCGCGAGCCCCATATCCAGACGGCAAAGAGGACGATCGCAACGACGAGAATAATCACGACGGCGATTCGATTGGAGATGCAACGAATTATCATCCAATCATTGTATACGGAAGATCAAACGTCCTCTCTCGTGCAGGATGGCCCAAGGGGCATTAGCACAGAGGTGCGTTAGAATGGCCCCCACCCCCCCCAAGGGTGAATCCCGGGGTGTTCCTCCTTCTCTTAGCGGCTTCGTGTCTGATAGAAAAGCGGTGCGGGCAGTACTCCTGTCCATATCCACTGCAGCTTGGAGTTAAAGTCCCTTCCCAAGAACCCCGAGGCACAGTGGATATTGATAAGAATTCTGCCCCCTCGGAGGCTCGATCCCTGTCCACATCTTGTTCGCCTCGGCCTCGTGGCGCCCTCTCCAGGAAAGTCCAAGACTCACTGGATGTTGTTGGATGCTCATTCTTGGGACCTTCGTGGAGACACTCGCTCTACTCTTGCGTCGAAGTTACGTCGAACGTCCGTCGATTTGAGTCGACCCTGAGTCGAACCTGTGACGACCTTGGGTTGAACTTGAGTCGAACTTGAGTCGAACTTGGGTCGAATTAGAGTCGAACAGATCTGTTAGGTCCTAGGTGGGCCCCAGGAGGTCCTCAAAACGAGCATCAAAATATTGATAAAGAGATTGCCCGCATAAGGGGGAATCCAAAATGTACTGGTACCGCTGGGGTGCGTTCTGACCAGGATTACGAAGCGAATCCAGCGATTCCGACGACGGCCTCCGAGGCCCCTAAAGGGAAAATTTCGGAAGGGGTGGAGGTATGGGTACCTTTTCCTTCTCTGAGGCATGGGGGAGAGAAACCGCCCACGAGTCTGGTCGACGTGCAGCCGAGGCAAAACAAAAAAGTCGCCTCGACACCCACAGCGTCAGGTCGGGCATGTCCTCCTACAGGCGGATTTTGGAGGAAACATACAACATCCCCAAACATTTTGGAGGAAACATACAGCAGAATAAGCAACAACACATGCGCAAAAACAATTTAGTCAAAAAATCGTCCCCAGACCATCTTGTGACTATTTCTGAGTTTTCCTCCTGCATAAAGGGACAGGCCCGACTTTCACCACAGCGTCCCTCGCCCCCGCCCCCCCCACTGGCCATGATTTGGCCAGTGGGGGGGGGCCATGTTTTGCCCCCTCGTCCTCAATTTTTTGGCCCGGATTTTTCGATTTCGGTTTTTTCGCCAAATCGCCAAGGATACTCCTCGATGGCCCTCGCCGAAGGACAACTGCACACGTCCGAGCGATGCCCCCCCCCCCTGGCGGGCGGGCCGCAGCACCGCGCCCCCGGCAGCCGCGCGGCGCGCCCGGGCGCGCCCGGGGCGGTCTGCGCGAGCGCCGCGTGCTCCTCGCACAGGACCGTCTTGAGGAGCCGGGGGTGGTACAGGGCCTCCTCCTGTCGGAGGCGGCGAGGATACGTGTTCGTCGTTGTCTGCCGTCGGTGCTCGCATGTTCTTCGTGTTTGTCGGGTGTTCTGGTGCATCCTGGGAGATGGTATCCTCGAGTGTACTTCAATTTGGCCGGCGGGGGGTGGTACAGCGCCTCCTCCTGTCGGAGGCGGCGATCCCTCTCCCTCATCTTCCAGACCGTCCGCCCTGACCCTCAGCCCCTTCCTCGATCTGATCTATGTGGGCCTCCTCGGGGTACGCACAAGGTTTCCAGGACCGTCTTGAGGAGCCGGGGGTGGTACAGCGCCTCCTCCTGTCGGGGGCGGCGAGGATGCGCGAGAACTCCCTCGAAGAATTATCCTGGCGAAGGACCCAACCATAAACAATTGTTCGTAACGCGTTGTGGGTGCCGCTTTCGGTGGGGCTCCCTATGGGGCCACGAAACGCTGCCCTGGGCGGGGTGGTACAGCGCCTCCTCCTGTCGGAGGCGGCGATCCCTCCCCCTCCATCTTCCAGACCGTCCGCCCTGACCTTCCGCCCCTTCTTCGATCTGATCTATGTAGGCTTCCTTGGGTTACGTACAAGGTTTCCAGGACCGTATTAATATTGAGGAGCCGGGGGTGGTACAGCGCCTCCTCCTGTCGGAGGCGGCGAGGATACGCGAGAACTCCCTCGAAGAAAAAAATCAGGGAGGGGATAGATCGAGGACCTCTGCGATATCTTGGCGACGCGGCCTTCTCAGAGCGTTCCGGAAGCTCTGAGAGCATCCCAGATCGCTCTAGAACGGATTGATCCTCCTCCCGTCGGCGGCGACGATGAGGGCGAATAGCCCAGGGGTTGGCACTGGACGTGCAGTTGGACCGAGGTCCAAGGTCGAGGTCGGTTCGGGGAGGGTGCCCTCATGTTCTTCGTGTTTGTTGGGTGTTCGGGTGCATCCTGGGGGATGGTATCCTCGAGTGTACTTCAGTTTGGCCGGCCGGTGGTGGTGCAGCGCCTCCTCCTGTCGGAGGCGAGGAGAACACCAAAACGGATTCCTTTTTTGTGGCAGAGTGCACAAGGATCCCTTCTCTGCAGAAGAATACCAAAGATTCTTTTTGCGGCTGAAGGCCAAAAGGGTTCCGATCTGTGACGGGATAAAAAAGGATTATCCCGGCAAAGCAACCTAACAGCGATGTGTAGGAGCATATCTGGAAGCATTCCCCTTAAGATTCAGATGAGAATCCAGTTGTAGAATTCTGCTGTTCTCGCAGTCGTAGTCGCATTCGCGATGACAGTCGCAGTGGCAACGGCAGTCACAGTCGCAGCCTCAGCCTCAGCCTGCCTCAGCCTCAGCCTCAGCCTGCCTCAGCCTCAGCCTGCCTCAGCCTCAGCCTCAGCCTGCTTCAGCCTCAGCCTCAGTCTGCCTTCAGCCTCGGCCTCAGCCTCAGCCTGCCTCAGCCTCAGCCTGCATCAGCCTCAGCCTCAGCCTCAGCCTGCCTCAGCATCAGCCTGCCTCAGCCTCAGCCTGCCTCAGCCTCAGCCTCAGCCTGCTTCAGCCTCAGCCTCAGTCTGCCTTCAGCCTCGGCCTCAGCCTCAGCCTGCCTCAGCCTCAGCCTGCCTCAGCCTCAGCATCAGCCTGCCTCAGCATTCAAAATGTGGCCCGGGAATGGAGTTCTGGGAACTCGAAGAACACGAAGTGGCCTACAGTTGGCTCCGGGCATTCAAAATCATGCCCAGGAAAGGAGTTCTGGGAACTCGAAGACCACGAAGTGGCCTACAGTTGGCTCCGGGCATCCAAAATGCGGCCTGGGAATGGAGTTCTGGGAAATCGAAAAGCACGAAGTAGCCTACAGTTGGCTCCGGGCATCCAAAATTTGTCCCGGGAATGGAATTCTGGGAAATCGAAGAGCACGAAGTAGCCTACAGTTGGCTCCGGTTATTCAAAATGTGGCCCGGGAATGGAATTCTGGGAGGTCGAAGAGCACGAAGTGTGTGACTGTTGGCTTAAAACGAGCCCGGCTCTGTTCCCGGTTCTTTTCCCCGGCACCCGCCCAGACCCCCCTGTGGAGTCATCATATGCTCTCTTTTGAGTCCACTAGAAGACTATCGGCAAAAGCTGTTAGGTAAAATCCTATTGTGGCGGAGTGCGCAGAAGACGCCCCATGAGGCGGAAAACAAAGGATTCCCTTTGTGTGTGTACGCGTGTGCAGAAAATCCACCCATCCATTAAGC